TTGCCACACATTATTGCCGACCTACAAACCTTGGTGTCTTTCAGTAAAAGGCAGGGAGAGAAACCTTTCCAGGACTCTTTTGACCTCCCAGTCCACCCCTGCTCCCCTCACTCCTGGCCTAGAGAGAGGACTCATTGGGGCCAGGCCCAGCAGAACCATTGGGCATCTTGTCACTATGCAGTTTGCACAACTCACCTGGGTGCAGTGATAGCTATCAGATGCCATAATGCCACACAACTTGCCTAAGCCCAGCAGTAGCCTCTGTAAAACTGGACTTGGCCAGTCCGGGCAGCACCCATCACACATTTCACAACTTTGCTACCACACAGTGTTTGTAACTTGGCCAGATTTTTCTCAGGAAGAGGCTGCCAGGGGGAGGGAAAACTGAGAGTCAGTGGGATGTAGTGGTTAGAGAGTGTCAAATTAGGATCTGGGAGACCCATGTTCAAATCCTCATGGTCATAGAAGCATCCTGGTTGACCTTGGGCCAGTCACTGTTTCTCAGCCTACGCTACCTCACAGGATTGTTTTGAGGATAAAGTGCAGGAGAGGAGAATGCTGTGGGTCCCCACTTACAAGAAAGGTGGATTATAAAGGAAGTAAATAATAATGAAAGCTGAAGAGGGCAGAGAAAAGAAAGATTGGTTGATGAGTGGGAAGGAGGACAGGAAGCATGGGATGGGGAGGGGATACGGGGGCTACCAGAAGGAAAGAGGAAATATTGTGGGGAAGGGGATGCAGGTAAAAGTGATTTCCTGGTTGTTATAGCTATATCAAGCAGTTAACTACATTCCAGTTGACTTCAAAAAGCATCTTCAAGATCACAACATATGAAATAAAACTTCCTACAGTTAACTCATAGATAACTGTGTAAATCACTTCAGATTTGGTGAGAACTTATATCTCCAAATCAATGACACAACCACTGGCACCCGCATGGCTCCACAGTATGCCAACAGTTTCATGGCAGATCTAGAACATCATTTGCTGAACTCCTACCCATTGGCACCTCTCCTTTACTTGAGATTCATTGATGACATTTTTATTGTCTGGACCCATGGCAAAGGAGCCCTCGAGAGATTCCACCAGGTTTTCCACAACTTCCACCCCACCATCAATCTATGAATTACTCTACACAAGAAATAAACTTCTTGGACACCTCAGTATGGATACACAAGAAACACATAAGTACCACATTATACTGGAAACCAACAGATTGGCGAACATACCTACATGCCTCCAGCTACCACCCCAACCACATCAGACAATCCATTGTGTATAGCCAAGTCCTATGGTATCAGACAATCCATTGTGTATAGCCAAGTCCTATGGTATAGTCGCATCTGCTCCAACCCCTCAGACAGAGACACTCACTTGAAGGATCTGCAACAGGCATTTTTGCAACTACAATACCCTCCTGAAGCCAAAATGATACCTAGGGACAGCTTGCTACAAGAGAAGCCCAAGGAGAATAACAACAGAACGCCACTGGTGGTCACCTACAACTCACAACTCAAGCCAGTTCAATGCATTATTAATGACCTACAACTCATGCTGGATAGTGGCACTTCCCTCACACAGGCACTGGGGGAGGCGATGTTTTCTTGCTTACAAACAGCCTGCTGACCTAAAACAACTTCTCATCTGTAATGATAAACTACTTAACAACAACATGGACTCTGGTACCAAGGCCTGCAGCAAACCAGGATGCCAACATTGCTCTCATATAGATCCTAGAAACACCATCAGTGGACCCAGCAACATCAACCATACCATGGTATGTATCTCCTCCAACATGAAGGACTGTTGGCGATGGATGGGGTGCACCTTACAAAGAATGGGAGGAATGTCTTTGCTGGAAGACTTGCGAACCTGATCAGGAGGGCTTTAAACGGAAGACATTGGGGGTGGGAAGAAAAAGCCTGATGTTGTGTGGCATCCCCAACACTAAGTTCAAGAAGGGGAGTGACCAGAAAATAAATGAATGGGAGAGAGGTGAGTTCAGTAATTTTCATGTAAAATCGAAGGGACCTACGGTAGGAAAGGATGTCTGTAATCTGCGATGTCTTTATACTAATGCACAGAGTATGGCAAATAAACAGGAGGAACTTGAACTTCAAATAGTGGAAAGTAAGTATGATCTGATAGGTATCACTGAGACTTGGTAGGATGAGTCTCATATATGGAGCACAGTGATTGAAGGATATACCTTGTTTTAACGGAACAGAATAAACAAAAAAGGAGGCAGGGTGGCACTATATGTCAAGAACGAATACGCTTGCACTGAAATTCAGGATTTTGAGAGTTGCCCTGTTGAAAGTGTGTGGGTAAGGATAGAGCGGGGGGGGGAGAAGGGGATATTGTTGTGGGGGTATACTACAGACCTCCGAACCAACTGGAGGAACTGGATGATGCATTTGTACAACAGCTTGCTAAACTTTCACAGAGACAGGATGCAGTGGTTATGGGAGATTTCAACTATCTAGATATTTGCTGGAAATCTAACTCTGCTAGACATGGGGCATCCCACAGATTCTTGAATAGTCTTGCAGACAACTTCATCTCTCAGAAGGTGGAGGTGGGAACCAGAGGATCTGCTATCCTAGATTTAATCCTGACTAACTGGGAAGAATTGGTTGATGAAGTGAATGTTGTGGGATCCTTGGGGAATAGTGACCATGTCAGCTTGGAATTTGAAATAGAGAATGATGTGAAACCAGGACATAGTAGGACTCGTATCCTGGACTTCAGTCAGGAAAGCTGATTTAAAAAAACTCAGAGAAATATTAGGTAGGATCCTGTGGCTGGAAATGCTGAGGGGGAAATCTGCACAGGAAGGATGGGTGATGCTAAGTGCTTAAGGCACAATCGCAAACTGTTCCGGTAAGAAAGAAAGGTGGGAGACGGGTAATGAAGCTGAGGTGGCTGAACAAGGAACTCTCTGAAGAGCTGAGACTAAAAAGGGAAATGTACAGGAAATGCAAGGAGGGTCAGATTACTGAGGGTGAGTACAAGATGCTGGTGGTTGCTGCCAGGACTGGCCTCAACGAGTCCTCTGTCAAAGGCCAAAAGCCCTGTAAAGAGCTCTGCTCACTCCCCCTGCCTTTTACTGACAGAAACCACAGCTTCAGAGCTGGCAATACTGTAGTGGTTGCCTAGCCATCCCCACAATAGTCAATGCAGAGGGGCATTTATTCTTAAAGGTACAGGCACTGCTTCTATTGGGGGAACATTTCATTTTTTTAGATTTCAGATTTTTGTACACACCTGGGACCAGTGTTCCCTCTAAGTTGAGTTAGTGTGAGCTAGCTCACAGTTTTTTTAGCCTCTGGCTCACATATTTTTGTCTTAGCTCAGGAAGGATGGCTCCAGAGCAAACTAATTTATGCAGTAGCCAAATCGCTCCCTCACAACTTTATTGCCAGTAGCTCACAAAAGTCAGTTTTTTTCATAACTGTGGATAAAAATCCCAATAAGTGGGTAAGAAACTAATCTCAGTTTGTTCAAGTGCCTACATTCAGATGCCATGACAAATGGGAGTTAGCTGAAAACTTCTGTCTTCAGTCTTGGTGCACCACATGGGAGAGAATGGAAAAAGCATGCAAGCCTGGCTATTAACCAAGTTTGTGCCCATTGTGAACAAACTCTGGTTTGTTTGTGATGGCTGAACTGAGCCTCAATCCCAGAAGGAAAATTAACCACATCTATTTTGTATACTGAATATTTAGTTCATTACAAAACCACTGTAGCATGGTCTCAACTAGTTCTCACCATGCACAAAAGCACACAAATTAAATAGTCCCCATGCAACAGTGACATAATAAAAACAAGCATTACTCTTTGGTGATTTTGTCATGTCAAAAAGTAACATGAGAACTGGTTCTGGCTGCAGTAAATTTAAACTAGGAAAGAGTCCAACTTGGAAGACGTCCCTGTGCTGTGAAATACATTAGCAGCAACACAAAACAAATGCACTAAAAAACCCCAAGGACAACAGAGAGGGTGAAAACAAGGATTGTTTAATGTTGAAAAGGAGCTGTACATCTAGGGCAGTGGTAAGGAGAACACAAAAAGAGCTCACAATATGACTAAGTTCGAGTTGAGGTGTGTAGCGTTTGTTTGGCACTGTGTGTCTCCATGTTCCTGTCGAGTCCAGAGAAACTCACACAGAATGTGTTTCCTGAAACAAATCCAATAGGCCCAGGAAAGTGGTAGCCAACTCTTTTTTCCACAAGGAGAAAACGGACCATACAGATTCCACCGTGACAACCCTTTCAGAGCTTTGGTAGATTTTCCCTCCTTCCTCGAAATGCAGAAGAGCCAGATACTGGGTTTCTGTCAAGGATATAAGGATAAAGCAGCACTTCCAGGTCAAAGGTAATATTATTCTTTTCTAGGCAGGGGCATTATCTGCCATTGTGCAAGGATTTCTCTTCTCTCTGCATGGTGCATGGACTCTGACTTTTAAATCCATTCTTCAACGTCAGATACAGAGGAACTGCTTTCTAGTTCGGTTTCTCACAGCTGTGCTTATAGACAAAGCAGAAAACAGCTCCCAAGTCCTTTCAGAAATCAACCTGAGCATTTAAGGTGTTATAGCAATCGTGCCCCCCCCCCCAAAAAAAACCCCACAATGCACCCATCTGAATTCCAGCTGTAAGGTGGTGGAGGGAGCACATCCATCCTCTTGCTTCTGGGGGGTAAAGCAGCGGGAGGCAGATGCTGTTCACCAATGACCCCCTTTTATTCTGGCTGCAATTTGTCAAGGGTGGGAGGGAACCAGCACGCAAATCCCTTTTTCTTGCTCCACAATTAAATAATAAAAAGGAGCAGCCAGCCATTCTTCAGGGAAACATCTCAGAACCGAAACAACAAAAAAAAGTGTCTCTTAAATAAGCTTCTTTAATTATTATTATCATCACCATCTATTTATTTATACAAATATATAAAATATATTTATATAGATTTATATAATATATAACTTTTAGCTCTCTGGCGGGCCTTTCATTTACAGACGTATTGGTCGACAATCTCTGTGCATTTTTTACACTTCACGTAACAGCACCAGTGGAACTTGCAGTGGCAGCGTTCCACCTGCACGCTCTTGAACTGGTCGTAGCCCCGTCCGCAGCACATCAGCTCGCAGCCGTCCATGCCCTCTGACGTCTTGTTACAGAGCCGGCCTTGGGTGCCCAGGGACCCCGTGGTCTCGTTGCGCAGGCAGTAGTCGGGACTGGAGTCCACATAAACCAGGTCCTCTGGAGTGGGTGAGTTGAAGCGGTTGTTGACCAGCTCCAGCTTGCCCTTGCGGCTGATCCTCATGGCGGCTGCGCTGTCGTACTTCTCCTTCAGCAGGTCACCCACTTTGCGGAAGTCGGCCAGTTGCAACCAGCAGGTCTTGAGGCTGCAGGAACCTGAGACGCCGTGGCACTTGCAAGCCACGTCGGCCAGCTTGTACACCGCCTGTGGATGGGAGAACAGGAAACGGAGATCAGGCAAGCATTGAATCACCCCCTAAGTCTGAACTGTTAAAATTAGGGTTGCTAACTTCCAGGGGGGCCTGGAGAGCTCCCAGAATACCAACTAATCTCTAGACAACATATATAATTTCCACTGGAGAAAATGGTCGCTTCGAAGGGAGGACTCTCTTGCATTATACCCCACCAAAGTGCCTCCTCTCCCCAAATCCCACCCTCCCCAGGCTCCACCTCCCAAAACATCTCCAGGAATTTCCCAAATGAAATTTGGCAACCCTGGTTAAAACCTTCTGCTGAACTGTTCAACCTCTGCTGTCTGGTAAATGTACTACCAAACAACATACATGCCCTGCAGGACCTAATGCACTTCCGCAGGGCCTGGAAGGCAGAGAATGTTCCGCCAGGTGTTTGGTGGAGGACAGCGACGGTTCCATCTGTCCGGCACTCCCACTCCCTGCTTTTCTCCCCTTGAGGCGATGGCACAACTGGAAGCTTCCGGCATCATCTGTTAGGATGACTGTTGCGTCTTATTGTTTTTATTATGTACTTAATATATGATTGTATTTTCAGTGTTGTACACCAGCCCTGCTTTTCACAGGGGAGGGCGGTTTAAGAATCCAGTAATGATGATGATGATATGATGAGGCACGTTGTAGCACAGAAGCTAACAGAGAAGGAGAGAGAGCTTCAAATCAGGAAGTGCCTGGTTTGAATCTGGTCTCTGCCATGGGTGGCTTTATATAGTCACAATCAAACTCCATCTCGAATATGTGGATGATAATGTTAAATGATTGTTACAAAGATTGCTAGCTGTAATGTATGTGGAGTGCTTTGAACATTTGAAAGCACTGTATAAATATTTAAGTAGTACTTCATTTTGGTCTTATCCTGGAGGCCCAGAGTAAATTACAATGCATATCCTTTTTCATCCCCACAACACTCTAATGGGGTACACGAGGCTGAAGAGACTTCCCCAATGACAACCAGCAGGCCGAAAGAATCATAGCTGATACTCAGAACCAACGTCTCTGCCTCTGCATTGCTCTGTTAAGGATTTCCAGTTTCCATCACAATGGGTTTTTTTTTTTTAAAAAAGGGGTTTTTTTTAAGCAATCCCAATTATTAATGAGGTATTTTTCTGGGGCGTCTGACTAGCTGATGGCACTGAGCAGTCAGTTTTTGGGCATCTCGCTTGTTTGATACTGTTACAATGCCTTGGGCACAGGGCTTTTTTGTAGAAAAAGCCCAGCAGGAACTCATTAGCATAATAGGCCACACCCAACAGCAGAATCTCATTAGCATATTAGGCCCTGCCCCCTGACAGCACAGCTCATTCGCACATTAAACCACACACCCATGCCTTCCCTTGGCTTGCCTGGGCAAGCCGGCCCTTGGACAGGCCGGGGAAGGCACAGGGAGGCATTTAAATGCCTCCCTGATCCTTCCAGGGGTCCCCCCTGGCCCGCCCACCTCAGAGTCGCCGGGGTGGTTGCTCTCCAGGCCTTCCCTCTGTAGCCGCGCACGCAGAGGTTTTGGCTGTAGTGGGCATGGCCAACTCTGAAGACAGCCAGAACTCCATTCCTGTGCATGCCTGCCCAAAATAGCCCTGCTTGGGCAGTATCTACCCCTACAGCAGTGCTGCTGACAGAAAAGTAAGGGGCTCTAGGACAATATTTTTCATCCCTCAGGGAATATGCCATTCTTGCCCACTTGTTTTGAGGGATTCAGACGTGTTCCCCCAGGGAACTCCTGATTAGGGCTGCCAACTCCCCCGGTACCCGCCCCGGAGGCACCGTTCCCAGACGCCGGGGAATCGGGGCCCGGGGGGAACCCCGCCCCGGCGTGCGTGTCACCGGAAGTGACGTCGCACGCTGGAGGCGGGCCCATGCCATTTGAGGGGAAAACTCTTTGTTTTCCCCTCAAATGGTGTGGCCCCGCCCAGCGTGTGACGTCACTTCCGGTGATGCTCTGGCGGCGCGTGCTTGCGCTTCGCGCGCGTGCATCCCCGACAGGCTCCCGGAGCGAATGGACGCTCCCCCGCCAGTAAGTGTTTTGAATTTGGCAACCCTACTCCTGATAAACCACACTTGCCCGGCACTTAAAGTGTGATATTGCAAGACTGATGGTCAAACTACATTTGAGGCGGGTGAGCTCTCATCCAATCTCTCACGGTCGTATTTTCAAGCTTAAAAGCAGTTCTTCTGAGGGTGGTGGGTGGGTGGAGTAAAAATTAAGGCAGTGACACTGGGGTAGTATGGTTTCTAACAATTTCCCCTGTACATTTTTTTAAAAAAATTGAAATCAAACACACCCTGAAGACTTGGGGGGGGGGAGACATATCATGCTTGTGTCTTTTTTCCTCCTGGCACAACTATTAGTAGGTTCAGAGGACAGCTTTGGAAAATGGAGTAAGGAGGAAGAGTTCCTCCCCCCACTACCATTTCCTGCCACCAAGTCAAACCTTTGAAGCTTAAAAAAGATCTCCAGGAGATGTGATTCTCGATTTCCCCATCCTTATGGCTTACTGAGTTCAGAGTCAAATCACCACGGAGTCCTGTAAAGTTGGAACGGGTGCTGGGAATTAAAGAGTATTAGGGCAGAAAGGAATGGATTGCTGAACTGTTTTCCTGCCTGAGCGCCCCTCTGAAACTGCTGCTACTAATTTGGTTTTCTCCTGGTGGGCCTCCTAGCCTGAAAGAAATCCCCTCAGGTGGAAAAACAGCTGAGGAAAAGCAGTTCTGGGGGTCCTGGCAAGAGAAAGGTTTAGCATTCCTCCCTACTCCCTCTACTGTGCTTTAAAAAGACCCCCACCCCCTCGTACTCCTGCTTTACTGGTATTCAGCACAACTGAAGTTCGGTCATGCAACATTTACGCCCAGTTTGACCCCAGAAAAAGAAATGCAGCTGAAAGAAACAAGACTTGTGCCGTATCTTTTTGCAGCTTGCATGCCACCTTGTGGTCAATTACTTATCCAAACCTATGTCTTCCCCTTTTTTTCTCCTTTTTCCAACTCTGAAAGTCTGATGATTAAAAAAAAAAAAAAAATGCCCATGGCTGCTCTACTTGGGGGCTTTGCTCTGATTTGACACCCAAACTGCAGCAGTTTGTTTTAGAGCATCCACACAGTGCCATTCCCTAATTGTATGCTTTCCAAGTTTCCCCCTGATTTGCTATGGTCTTTCCCAAACGTAGTTTGGGACAAGACTTTTTGGAAAGATTGTACTCCCAAGTGGGTTTGCGTGCCACGTGAATGGAAAAGTAAACATTTGTGAAGGTGTTGCCCACAGCAGCCATCATTTTCCTTCCTCAGACCCACTCGTGGCCACCATTTCCCCCTGCCAACAGAGAGCTTTTTGGACTTTTTTTAAAAAATGGCAATGTACATGCTGCTATAGCATCATAATGTTATAACAATCTGTCTGCTACTTCCTCTGAATATCCTGCTTTCATATAAAATTAAAACGAAGTCTCTAGCCTTTTTTCGTTGTGCTTTTCCTATTATATCCCCAACAAATGGCGCTAGCGAGGGACTTTCTTTTTGGGCAATGAAAGCTGGGAATTCAGAAAACCTAACAGATGAGAGGTTCCCAGCGTAGCACCCACCGACACCTTTCCTGGCATCTCCCAAGTGCTTTTAGAAAGTGAATGGAGCCAGGTGGGGCATTTGCCCAGCAAGGCTTCTGATTGGCCGTCGGAGATGCAGATTTTTAAAAACACTTTTTGGCAGCAGCTGCCACCGCAACAGAAGGATCTTCACTGTGTGACTGAATGCAAGCTCTGGGCAGGCAAGAAAATACTTTTATAAACAATAGTGTCATTTTAAAAGGCATCCCATCAAACAGAACTTCTGCCTAAAGCGCTGAAGGGTTACTATTAGAGTTATCGATAACCTCACTTCTTGACATTTTGTAGCTGGCTCCGCCTCCTGCAGTAGACATTTTGTGATTGGCTCCACCTATGGGTAGCAGCCATTTTGTGGTTATGCTGATTCCCCTGTGTCAGCATTCCAAGATGCCCATAAAATAAAAAATGTCGGGGTCTCCTGTAGTAGACAGATTACTGTAACAGTGATATGTCCATTTCCAATGTTTTAGAAGGTTCAAAAAAGCCATCCCAATGGCATGGGAAGCAAACAGTGGCCCGTGGGGGACTAAGACATGGAAATCGCTCTGTGGATGCTGCACTGCCACTTCAAATACCTCTGTGTTTGCAGCAGCAATAAGAGCTACACAGAGAATCAACACTGTGCAGAAGCAGTCCATACTTTTTTAAACAGTAGATCACGAAACCATTCTTTAAAAGTGGGTTTGTAATTCCAGGTAACACTTGGGGCCCAATCTAGCCTGCAGAGAGGACCTTGAGTTGGGCAGAAAGGCAGCATAGGAGTGTTATAAATATAGTGCAAGCATAAAAAAGGGAAATCCCCAAACGCTGTAAAACAGCGATGAGCACTCTGCTTTTCCCAGCCTAGGAAGCTTTCATGGGACTGCCTTAAAGAAGAGCCTGCAGACTCTGAAAGCATGGAGATTTTTAAAAACAACAGTACATCATTCTACAGTACTTCTGGATTTGTTCTCTTCTGAATTCCAACCTGAAGCTGAATCAGAGCCACCACCACACCTTAGATTTATTCCTCTCTGTACTTTGCTTAGAGGGTGTGGGTTGAGGAGGGGAAGAACTTCAGTGGAGCAAATGTTAGAGGGTCCACCTTCCAAAGTAGTCATTTTCTCCTGGTGAACTGATCTCTTTTGCTTGGAGATCAGTTATAATGAATACTCCCTCTAAGCTGTGGAGTCCTGTGAGCAAAAATTCTACTTTGTGAGCTACTGGCATTAAAGTTGTGAGTGAGCGATTTGGCTACTGCATAAATTAGTTTGCTCTGGAGCCGTCCTTCCTGAGCTAGGGCAAAAATGCGTGAGCCGGAGGCTAAAAAACTGTGAACTAGCTCACCCTAACTCAGTTTAGAGGGAACACTGGTTATAATC